AGCAGAAGCTGTTCCGGTTCAGACTCTGTTAAACAAGCTGAATTGTGAAACAAACAACTCGAGATGCTTTGGGTTTCATTTGCAAATCCTTCAGATAAGTGTTTGTATTCTTACACACCATTCTGTGTTTTTGTATTGGGATAAAAATCCGGAGGCTTTGGGTAAATAATCCTGCTGCACCGGCAGAAAGAGCAAACCCCAGACAGGCAGACAGTTCGGGAAATTCGCTGCACATTTGATGAGGCAACAATAAAGCAACGAACTAGACAAAAACAATTCGACCGAGTCATAGATCAGGGCTGGAGGGCGGCGTGTTACGGTGGAGATCAGTGGTTCCCACAGTCGGTCCTGGAGGCCCGGCGTCCTGCATGTTTAATTCAACGCACCTGAATCAAATGATGTCACCACCACCAGGAACAGAACTACAACGAGCAGGTTGAGTAGATTTTTAAAAAGTACATTGGCAATAAGAAATAAAAAAAATTATTAGGTTAATCTCAGAAATTTCCTAGTAAAAAACTTGGAAATTTCTGAATTCCAAAAGTAAAAATTTCCATTTTCTTTCAGGAGAATTTCTGAGATGAAATTCAGAATTTCACATTTTTTCGAGCATTTTTTTTTACTTTCCAAATTCAGAAATTTCTGTTTTTCCTCCAGAAAATTCCTGAGAATAAACTCAAAATTTCTTTTTTTTTACTTATGAGATCAATCTCAAAATTTCTGACTTGAGTTTTCTGGGTCAGACATTTCATCTTTGTTTTTCTAGAAAAAAAACCTAAAATTTCTACAAAATTTCTGAGATTAATCTAAAAATTTCTGAGAAATGTTTGTGGAAATTCACTCCTTTTTAGAAATTGTCCTAATACATTGGTGTACTTCAACAGTCTTTATGCAAACTTTAATAATTCAGAATACGTTAATTTTAATTATTTTATTGCTTTATTCTACATCTATTTGACGTATTTCAGAGAAAACATGCAGGTGTGTTTGTTTCTCTGTCTGTGGAAACATATTTAACATTTACAGACACATTTTGAGTCTAATAAAGTCCCAAAAACGTTGAAAAGGCTGAAAACTCTCTGCTGGTTGTGTGCGTTTCTTCCTTTCTTTGCTCATGGCAAAACAATTGGGTAGCATAATGAGAGCAGGTTGGTCTTTAAAACAAGCCTTCTGCTGCAGGGCCGCGGCTGATCTCTGACTCCGGCCTTCATCCGTGACTTGGGGCCCTCGGCTCGGCTAAAGGAGCCCTGTTCTGTTCGCAACTGTTCTGGGTCCCGAGACGCATGAATTATTCACCTTCACAGATGCAAGGCAGCTGCTTCACAAACTGTACATACACAGAGGGATGCGGCGCTGCGAGCTGCAGCAGGAGATTAAAGGCCAAAGTGTGTGAGCTGTCCAACCAGGACACGTCCACATATGGGGACAAAATAACAAATCCAGGACAGTCCATGATCTCCAACATCCTCGCTGGCTCCTTTACATCTAGCAGTTTGTCCATGTTTTGTCATCAACAGCTGCTATTCAAAAGTCAACTAGATCAAGATTTAGTTCTCAGCTTATTCCAGATTTATACGGCAGCATATCAGTGACAACGCAGATGGAAAACAAGAAGAAGTAAATTTCTGGCAAAAAACTCAGAAATTTTGAAATTAATCTCAGAACAGTTCTATAAAAAAAAAAAAAACTAGCATTCCTGAGTTTCTTGTTGGTTGTGCAGAAGGCTCCCCTACTGCTTTTCAAACATGTACAATTGTTTAATTGGCAGCTGTTTGCAGCCATTTCCACATGCGGGTGTAAATGTTAAGTTTGGGGGAGTGGCCAGAAGCCTAAATCAATTCAAAGTGATAGAGAGGAGCTCAAAAGATCAAAATCTAATTTTCTAAAAATGATTTTGTAGAAAAACTCAAATGAACATGTTTTGTGTAGACCATGGATGTATCCTTATCTGTTCAAGGAAGCAAAATGGGTCACCATTAAGCCACTGTCAGCAACTGAGCTCCATAAAAGGGGAAAGTTTCAGAGTGGCCTCCTTAAAGAAGCTGCCAAACAAACCTTTCACAAAGCCCGCATCAACATCCAGGCTGGACTGTTTCCTCCTGCTGTTCATGAATCACAACTCAATGTTATTCCCTTCAGACATGAGATTGCACTACAGCATTTTTGAAGTACTGGTTTAATAAAGTTTCCATGAATTCCTCCGTGCAACACGAAGGTTTAGCAGTGAAGGTTTCTGCCGTAGTATCAATCTGCACGCCAGCCTCTCCGTCCCTCGGAGCGACCGCAGCTCGGGCTGCGCCTGCAGTTTAGCTTTGTCTTTCATGTTTTGTTCTCAGCGTGCCGGGGAAAGGCACACACACTCTCTGTTTGCTCCGCTGGGAAAACGCACGACTGCAGCCAACAAAACAGGACGCATCTGAGGCGAAGAGCACAGATTCAGTCAAGGTGCATTGGCTTTTCCACACTGTGCCCCGAGCGCCGCACAGGCCTGAAGGTTGCTTCTGTAAAATTGATCCCAACAACCAGCCGAGCCACAGAAACTGTAAAGTGGCACAGATCTCTGTAATTCTGCATGTTATCCTCACACAAATGTGGAAAAATAAACAAATAGGAAATTCAGTCATTTGTGACTAAAACTTAAGGAAAATTAGGAATGATTATTGTTTTTTCCAAACTATGGAGCGCACCATACGATAAGCCACTCCTATAATTTCTTTACAAAAAACTGGAAACATACATATATAAGCAGCACCAGGCTATAAGCCACTGGTATCTCCGACCCAGCAGAGGGCAGCAGAGGGCTGCATCCTAATTAATCTGCTGGATATATTAAGGACATAGCCTTCTGTCTCCAACGCTGAACCATGGTTTCGTTAACGCCGAGTTTACATGTAGCGGCTCTATTTCCCTCCTGCACTGAAAGATCGACAGCCTTCAACTAAAAGCTGCATCATATGAGTTCTAAATGAAAATTAGCGCTTTCTTCTTTGATTTCCAATTCTGACTTCCAATGATTCACTTCCTGCTGAAGAGCGCCCCCTGGTGGTTGAAGAAAAGTCCACAGAAAAGCCACACCGGGACACCAGCCACATGGTTCAAAACGTGGGACAAAAGTAGCGGCTTAAAGTCCGGTTCTTCTTTAACAAAAAAGAAACTTAAAAGAGGGTTTACATTCAGTTTATGTAAAAACGTCAGTTCTTCTGTTGTCACAGCTAAAAACGTCTGATCACGGTTTGAAATCTGTGATCAGTAGTGATGACCTTTGACCTGGACCTTCAGATTCACAAGTTCAGCCTTCTATTGATGATTTCAATGATCACACTTAAAATGTAATTTTTATTGATTGTTTCACAACTAAGAGGTAAAGTACTTTGAGCTTCAGAGTTTGATACAAATGAACTTGAAGTTGTAAGATAAATAAATATTGGTAACTGATCAAAAAAATCTACCCATTTTAAATCTTTTCTTTGCATATTTTTTCATGTTAAAAACAAAAGGTTTTCATCGTCCACCTTAATTTCTATTCAAATGGAAACATTTTAATAAATAAGCATTACATTCTCATCTACTAAAAAAGATTAAACTCACAGGAAAATACATGTTTTTATTTATTTTTTTCAACCTTTTCAGTGCTGCATATAAATATTCTTTCCCACATTTTGTAACAATCTCAGTTTGCTTATTTAATGAAATAAAATGCTTTATGGTTTTACAATGCAGGTAGTTGAGGCGACCATTCTCACTCGGAAAGAGAGAAATTGTGTTTCCACTTGAGTAAAACACAAAAGTATTTACATTTTTCTTCAAAAGCACACTGTGTACTTATTAAAAAGGCAGCCACTGAGCGTAAAATACCGACTTCGGCCTGTTTATGTGAGCCGTGAAGTTAACTGCATGGTGCAGCTTTTCATTAAAATGCACCCAAGAGGTCAGGCCACATTAATGCAAATCAATTTATCTGTTTTTTTTTTGTTGTTGTTTACAATGGAGATTGAAGTCTGTGCGTTTAAAGCAGTAGGAAGGGAACAGGCCCTAATTAATGACTTCATATCCTGAGAACATTTTCAAATTACTGCGATGCAACAACACAGAAAATTCTGCACAACTGTGAAGCTGAAGAAAAAGTTTTCTGCATTTTTCACAGAAAAAAAGTGTTGAATGCATATTTGTTTTGTACGAAAGCATTTAACTGCCATTACTATGACAAAAAATAATCATAAATTGGTAAAATAATAAGGTTTCTGATGGTAATTAGATGTAAAACAAGAATTGTTTTAATTATAACAAGCAAGATTTTTGTTTTAACTAGAAATTCACTGATCTACTTTCTTCACTTACGATACCAATATTAGTATCGGCCGATACCGATCCAACACACACTGGTGCAGAATGTTTTCTTATTTAAAACACATAAATAAATGCATTAAAAAAAATTATAATAAACATCTGAAAGTGACAAAAACAGCACGGTTGATTGGCCAAATATGTAAAAATAAACTGAAATAAACCAGAAACTGCAGTTAGGAATTATAAATATAATGTAAAATAAATAATAAAGTGTGACATCGCTCAGAACATGAAGCATAAAGTTATGCTGCATAGATACGGCCTTATGGATGGGGAACATTGTCATTGATACCTGATCTAGAACTGTTTTCTATACTGAGATGAATTCATATTTCTAATTTTTGTATTTTTCATGTATTCGTTTAATTTAGATTTCAATTAAACACACTGAGAAGTGAAAAGTTAAAGGGGTGAAGAAACTTTCGAAAGGCACTGAAAGTCCGACCATTTAATTCATTAAAGCTACAGCTTGTGATATTTATCCTAATAAACCGTTTGAATGCAGAATGTTTTGTTTAATGCTAGTATGGCTGCCCTCTCCAGAATGACATCAGTGCCGAAAGTGTGTAGAGACGAATAACTTTTCCCAACTCGTGTCTGGCAGAGCGTTGCAGCTGGTTTTCAACATGCAAGCTGTTTCAGAAACCGCTCACCTTCTCTTCTGTTGACTTTGGCGAAGCCCGGTCCGTGGCTGGGCGACAGCTGAGAGGAGCTCCTGAAGGACCACGGCGGCAGATTGGACACCAGAGGGCTGTCACAAACCGCTGCTGACCAATCACACGCCAGAAAAGGCAGAAGAGACACAAATCAGTATTTAGCATTAAAAAAATTGTTTCATTAAACTTGCAGGGCTACGGGAAACAGAAAAATCTGACTTTGATCTCAGAATTCTGACTTTTTTTCCCCTCAGAATTTTGATGCTAATTTCACAATTTTGACTATAATTTCATAATTTTGACTTTACAGAATTTATTTTTTCTCAGAATCTTGACAAACTGGATTCTGACTTTAAATTGACTTTTTTTCCTCCAAAATCTGACTTTAATATCAGAATTGTAATTATTTTTCAGAATAAAACTCTGAATTGCAACTTTTTCCCTAAGAATACTAACTTTAATTTTGGAATTTTGACTTTAATCTCAGAATTCTGATGTTTTTTCCACAAATATTAGATTTGTTCTTCTCGGATTTCCAACTTTTTTCCTCAGAATTCTGACTGTTGATTTCAGTAACTGGCATTAAGTCAAAACTCTGAGAAAAGAAAAATTCAAGGCTACAACATGAAATGCTATCTTTGCTTTTTTTGCCAATGATTGTCGGTGGATGAATAACGATTTCTTGCTGCACAAAGTAAAACACATTTTCAACAAGTAGTCGGTCAAATTTCACCAAATTATTGGAACAAAGGTCAAAACGGAGGAAAAGTTGATGTATGAATCGGAATAACCTGAACTGTATGTAATCCTTCATTAACTAATTAACTAAAAAAGGTTTCAACAGTATTTACCAAGTTTTGAGAACATATTACTGAGCAGAGCTGTGGAGCGCTAATAGCTAATTGTTTATTTTGTTCAAAAACACATTAAAGCAAAGAAAACTAGAGCAGAGGAACTGAACTTTACTGATGAAACTCGCGTTACTGTTCCTCCTGGAGCTGCAGCCAAGTGAAGGTGAGATGAGGTGAGTTTGGCGAATGAGTCACATGTCTCTCACACACAAAGAAAATCCACTGATGGGTGAAATGAAGAAAGGAGTTGATGATGTCACTGCATTACTTAAAGACAGCAGCAATAAATGCACCGAGTCAAAGTCCTCTGCTTTTCTGCTCATATTTTATTCCTTCTTCAATTAACTCCAGGTGACATACAGTGACCTCTGACCTTTCTGTTTGTTTGTTTTGTACAACAAGCTTTGAATCAATAATAGATTAAATATTAGCGATATGACAATCACATTCCTCCTTTTACACTGGAGAGGACTGGGAGCAAAACGCATAACTGCTGCCAGCAGCCATATTTTAAACCAAATTGATAATAAGCTGAACTAAGATAAAACATTATATTTAAATCAGACAGGTTTGATTGGGCTATCATGTTGGCGCCTGGTATTATATAGAGAATTGAAGACCAACACATTTTGAATTCATCCATCCATCAGGTTCGATAGAAATCAATGAACAGTTTCTGTTCAACCCTTTAAGAACCAAACATAGGAAAACATTAAAAAAAACTAATGTTCAACCTGATAGATGGTTTTTGTGTGACTAATTTGGAGGTTAAAACATGTCTTTATATTTTTTTTGTTTGTTCTTGTACAGTTTAACTAAATATATTACTTTACACAAAAAGTTACATTAAAACAAGCTCAAAAATTAGCATCATTTTTTTGTTTTTCTCTTTTCTCTGTTTTTATGACTATAAAGTTTCTGCAAACAAAAGTGGCATCAAAAATATAAATGGAGAGTAATGTGCTTTTTTAATGCATCATGCGATAAATTGATTCACTACAACTGGCTTATTTCTGCTATGTTGCAGTTTCGGAAAGTGTTGCTGTTACTTTAGAAGATTGTGGTGATTCTGGGACTCACAGCTACTTATCTGATCTAAAGACAGAACCGTTTGATGAACGGGTTGGTTTTTAAGGAGGCGAACTTCCACACCGGAGCCGGCCTTTTGCAAACACAAAATACCCCCGGATCACAGAGGCAGATGGCAGCGATCTGTCACTTTTATCGCTAAATTATTTGTCCCTGAATTAATAAATCCAGACTCGTGAATGGCACCACAAGCCACTTCCATCTTTATGTGACCTTGATTTAATTGGAACCTTTTATGACTCAACTTCTGCTGAACACATGACATTAAGTGAACTTGATTTATACCATGCAAGGATGCATTGACCTCTGATTTGCTCTCCAAAAGTCGTTCATGCTATGATGGAGCATGAGGGACAGAAAAGGTTCAGGCAAAATGTCTCTCCCATTCAAATTAAATAGAATTTATTCACAGGTTTATGGTCTCTCTATGCAAACTAGCAGTCTATTAGAAGTCCTACAGAGTCAGAGTCGTTATGAAGCGGGGAGATAGCCCCAAATTGAAACCAACTTCTCTCCCAGCATGTTTTTTTATCCACCTATTTTCTGTCAGGCTGGAAAAACACAACTGCTTAAAGTTATCCATGCAGTCGCAAATTCTTAAATAATCAAAAAGCCAGCCCACATTCTTATCCACATGAGCATTACCCAGGTAACCCTGCTGCATCTGCAGAGCAATAATCAACCTGGAGGCGGAATAATATATTATTTTAGACTAAGCAAAATATACATCTAGCTGTGCCATGAAAGCAGGTTGGGATGGTAGCAGAAAAACAAAACCAAACAACAAAAAAGGGAATTGAGGTGTAAGAATGACGAAAATCATGACCACCTCATTGTATTTCATGGTTGCAATAATACTGACACAAATCAGTAAGAAAAAATACAAAGGTCTGTTAGTTAAATGTCCGTCCGACAAAACTTTTCATATCAAGTGGGTCCAGTCAGCTGGTGGTGAAACTGACTCTGGGAAAAGTTTAATAAAATTAGAAAAAAAAAGATTGTCATGTTTTAAAGCCATAAAACAGTAAATAAGTGGGTTTAAAATGCTCTACCAAGATAACATTGAATAGATGTGCCACTGCTGTTAGGGATGCACTTCTGATACCAACAGTTTGGTCAAAGATGTAAAAAACCCACAACTTTCATTTGTTCAATCAGTGCAATTATTTCGTGAATTGGATTAATTGTGATTAATCATTTGAGCCAAAACATTTCTGTGGGAAAGAGAAAATATTGCTGAATTTGAGAGAGTAGATCTGGGCTCGATGGCCCTTTCTGAGTCTGTGTCCTCCAGTTAGCAGTTGATTACTAAATTAGTCAATCATTATTTCAATACTCGATTAATCATGACTAATTGGATTAATTTTTTCAGCCATAAACACTTCTGTGGGAAAGGATCAATATTGCTTGATCTGAGAGAGTCTAGAATGGCCAACAAAACTTAAAGAATAACCTTTTTCAGTCTGTATCCAGTTAATGATTAATTGATCAATGAATTAGTTAATGACTATTTCAATAATCAATTAATCACGATTAGTCATTTCAGCCCTCACCTTTGTGGTCAAGGGCAAATGTTTGGTGAATTTGAGAGAGTAGATCTGGGCGAGAGTGGCCAGTGATTCTTGCTGGTGTAAACAGGAAGGGAGATGATGTCAGGTGTTTTATAGAGGAAATAATTGCCATCTGTTGCAGTTATGTCTGATGGGAGAGCTGCATGAAAAATAGAATTAGTTCATAAGCCTGTAAATGTCAGTGATGCACTTGAGTCTGAAGAAGAGAAGGTCTGGCAGTGCAGCGTCTGACGACGCAGCGCCGTCTCCTTCAAGACCCAAGACAGACGCAGTCTGGATTATTTACCTAGCAGGCTTGTTCAAGTTCACATTTACAAATCCACATGATTGAGCAGCTCAAAGAAGAAAAGCGTTTGTGCGGATGTGATTAAAAGGCATTACACAGATGGAGAGAAACTACACTGAAAAAATCTGGAGTGACATTTACTCAGAAAAACCTTGGCAAGTTTTTACACTTAGACTTTTTGAAGTGGACATCACAAATACTTTAATTTCCTTTGTAATAAGATGTTTTTAGTTGCACATTTGTACAAAATAGATTATTGTTTTGGGTTATAAAGAGGAGTAAATTTCTGCCAAAAATCTCTGAAATTTTTTGATTAATCACAGACAATGTCGAGAAAAAAACTCAAACATTTATGAGATCAAAAGGTTTAAAATTTTCAAGGAAAAAAACCCTCAAATTTTAAGATTAATCCCAGAAATTTAGAGAAAAACTTAGAAATTTCAGAGTTTCAAAAGGTACAACTTCAAACTTCTCCAAACATTTTCACGTTTTTTGAGAACATTTCTGAGATTAATCTCAAACTTTCTGGGAGGGTTTCTCGCAATTTTCTTGACTGAGAAAATAGATGAAGCTTTGACCATTTCATGGCTTAAAACAGATTTCTGTGACAAATTAATCAATCAATCAATCAATCAAATTTTATTTGTATAGCAGATTTCAGCTGCAAGGCATTTCAAAGTGCTTTACATCATAAACACAAATCACAAAGTCATGCAACATAGAATAAAATACCAAGACAAGGTTTAATCAGTTGCTGTGGCTGGTGGCACAATGCATTGTGGGATACCTTGCCAGCCAATCGCCACTGCCACATACTTCAAAATAACTGAGCTAATTATTAAAATGTTTTTTAAAAGCGTAACTACGTTATAATTTATTGAATTAAAGTCAACATTTCAATCCATCTTGACCAAAGTCGAGTTATCAGGTATTTATCTCTTTCAATTAAACAGTCTTAAAATTTACAGTGTTATGGACATTAATGTCTGGTTCACTTCTACTACACAATTAAATTTTACATGCTTTTGTTAAGTTGATAACTTAATGAAATAGTTTAGTTCCGTCTACTTTTCATGACATATTGAATGTACTTGCTCTACTTTTGTGTGATACAGATTTACTAATTAATTCAAAGTAACAAAGTAATTTACCATGCCATTTTAAAGTAAAGGTGCCAACATTGTAATTTGTAGTCAAATTTACAAAATGGGACCAAAAGAAATTTTTTCAGTTCGAAACTGAAGAAACTTTCCACCCTTTGTTTTTAGCTTTGTCTATAATTTGATTTCCTACCCTAACCCTTAATCAAAAGCCAGATAAATAAAAGCTGTAACTGACTGCAAACGTAAATACAGTCTGTGAAAAACACCAGTTATTGTTTGCAATTGCTTGTTATGGTCTTCATGTTTGAGTTGCAGAGGGAATTATAACTTAGGGAACACAATTTACCCGTTTGATAACACTGTGGATCAATTTCAGCCCTGCTTTAAAAGCTGTTATCTCTTTCAAACAATCAATAAAGCTAAGAAATAACAGAGCCTATTGATGCTTCTCTTCCCCATCCTCCTCCCTGATCATCTATCGATTTCCACAATCGATTTCAGACCCATCTCCAGCTGATTGAACACTTCTGAAAGTATTTTGATACAGTAATCTTTAGATTTCACCAAGCAATCCCAATTGTGCAAGTCTTGAAACTAGGAGTACAAAACCTCCCATGTTAGAACAAAACAGATCACAGGAATGTAGAGACTCAACAGAGTTAAGATCCATGGAGAAAACAAAGTGATTTCCTTTCAAATAATCCCTGTCCTCAAAAATCAACTCAAGATATTTTCTGGAAGCTTACTTGAGTATAAAATTGGAGCAAAAGCAGCAGAAGAATCCCCCTGTTAAATCTTTACTCATCGCCTCTGACAGACTCTCTTTTTCTTTCTCTCTCACTTGCTTTCGAAGAAAACATGAAATGTTTCAAAGGGAAACTGCTTTTATTTTTGCATTAAAACTTTCAGAATCAGGTCACTGACTGAAGATCACCTCTTAAGGCTGCACACAAAATTAGTTGTTCTGCAATTAAAATTCACGATGCATCCGTTTCTGCCAAAATTTGCAAGATGTGAAATTCTTTATAAAAAGAGGAACATCCATATATATATATATATATATATATATATATATATATATATATATATATATATATGTTTGAGACCATTGGTCTTATTTATTTATATTGTTTATTTTAGCATCCTTGGTAATTGAATGTATTCAATGCTCTATTGTATTAAGTGATTTATATCGTCCACCTGAACTTTGGTACCACATAAATTACCTCCCAACTGCCTAAAAAATGACCCAAAAAGTTGCGTGAACAGCGAGCAGCACCGGAAGCGCACGAGCCGCTCACCTTCTCCATCTGTCCCGCCTGAGCCAAGCAGCGCTGAGGCGACAAACGCGATAATCCCTGCGAGTATTTGACTCCTCGGAGACATGTTGAAGCGCCAGGATGCTGAAGAGCGTAACTCCGCTTGTCAGAAGGCAGTGGATCCGTCCGCAGCTGCTCCTCTCCGGCTCCGCTCCGGTGCGCCGGCCGCGCTGCAGCAGAGCCTGCAGCAGGGTGTAGAGGCTGGCCAGCAGCCGGGGAGAGGGACGGATGCTCTCACACCCACTACCTTGTGTCAATTAGAGCACGCAGGGAGAGGCAGGGGGGATTTTATGAGGCTTTGGCAGGTCCGAGCCAAAAGCACAACCTCTGCTTCCGAGATGCTGGCGGATTTAAGATTTCCAGTCAGAGAAAGTCCTGAGTTCAGCAGAGAGCAGCAGGCTGCGCTGCCTTTAACTCTTTAGGCAACTGTGTGTCTGTTATACAGAGGAGGGCAAAGTACCACAGTAGAACTACTTCAACATATTTTTATTCAAGGAAACCTAAAGCCATCCAAGACAAAACTCAAGTTTCATAAAATGGCAAGTCAAGTACTCAGTAACTGATCAAATGATCAACCATACAGTTACATTTACTCAATTACATAGACTTTAGCAACTTTTTTCAATCTACATTTAGGAGCATTTTTGTAATTTTTACTTTTACTTGAGTAGTTTTATCACCATGCATTGCTATTTTTGAGCAAAATTTCAAACCTTTCTACCCACTGCATGAAAAACAAACATGTTTTAACCAAAGATTCCCCAGACACAGAAACACACCAAATCAATTTCCAAATGATTTGGAAAGATTTTTTTTCCTTTTGCTTTATTTTCTTAGCTTTTGTTACTTATAAAATCCTTGTCCTGAAAATACCTACATTTCAATTCATCTTCTGCTTGATTATGTAGTTTTTAAATATTACATAATTGATATTGTGATCAGATCAGTAAATACTTTTTTTACTTGAGTAATTTCTTGGACAGCTACGTTTCACTTTTACTTGTATAAACTACTTTGAAGGAGTTCCACTCTTACTTTTTAGCTAGTCTGCCCTCCTCTGATCATCAGTCGTACTAAAATATATGATTACGTGGAAGTTTTGGTATTTTATTCCCTTTCCCCGGTTATCGATAATCGGAATGGCTCTAAAGATCAGTTTATTTATTCCGCCATGGATCGACGCTACACTAGCCAAATGCCTCCAAATATCTTGTAACAACGTAAAACAGCACAAATGTAACACCTGACAAAATAGAGAACAATTAAAACACATTATAACAAATGGTTAACGACTAAAACACAAAAAAAACACCTCCACGTCATATTCCGTTCTCTCTTCTCCTTTTCCCAACGACTTCTCTTTTACTCCTCGTAAAAAAAACTCCACAAACTGTCGCCATTGCTTCCGAGTCGGCGGCCATGTTTGTTTACTATAAATTCACGTATAGTATCGCGGGGTTTTGAGGGATTTCCTGTCTGGAGTCTAATAATTCTTGGTGAGAGAAACTGTTCTAAGATTTGTGGTGTTTTTTTTTTTTTTTATTGTTATATGTGTGTCGTCGCTCAGGTTTCTAAATATGGGCGGATAATTTGAAAATCCTACGATGTCAACCAGACATTAAACTGCTGCTGCGCTAGTTACTCAACAGGTTTTTGCTATGTAACCAAATAGTGAGTGAAAAAGCTTACAGTAACTCATTATTTATTTATTTATTTAGTTTTGCGATCATATTTTATTTTAGGAGTTTAAGAATTTGTTTGAAGTTTTTATTCTTTTCTGTACTATTTTGATTTTTTTGGTTGTTAAATGAAATGCATGAAAAATGTTTGTTCATGGTCAGAAAGACTGTAAAAAAATCAATCTTTTTTGTGGTCCACAAAGGAAAAAAAACATACTGAAATACTTTAATCTTGATTTTCTTTTTTACTTGTACATTACTTCTAAAGTCACAAAGAAAAGAAAATTCAGTCAGACTGAAATGAAAATCCTAAAATATTTAGTTTTGCCATATATGTGGAAAAGTAATCAGCATGTTCAAACCTCAACTTTGTAAATTTACCATAAATGTGCCAGTGGGGTTTCAAAAATACATCATAAAATGCAGATTACCTGTCATCCCCATAAGATTATTTTAGAGTATATATTTTATGGGTTCTCAGCAGCCATTATGTTCATTTCTAAGTTCAGAAAATGAATGCTACAAAGAAAACAAAGTGGTGAAATCTTCAGTCACTTTTTGCACAGTTTCCTTTAAAATATTTAGTTAGAGCAATTAAAGAAAAATCTTAATTTTAAGTAGTGAAGACTGTATTTAATCTACACAAACAAAAACAAAAACCCTTCTCTGGAACTGTCACCGCTTTTAAACTGAATATTTATTCAGACCTTTGGCTAATGAATGTGTGACTTACCTCATAATCCGTTTTTTTTTTGTGCCAGCACCGTATGAAGTGCCACTTAGGATGTTTATCAGCATCTCTTTGTGTTTATTCACTCTAAAAAGCAACTTTACTAATGTTTTTGCTCATGCAGACCTGGATCAAACCCTGGCTTAATGTAACACAAAGGCATTGAGTTTTTAATCCAAAACTTGTTTTGTGTCAATAAGTCAATAAAAGGTACCAATTCACTAGCAGATGATTTCACTTAGGATTTTTACACTAATATTAGGGAATTTTTAACTTGAAATAAGTTCCCTGAAAAGTTACTTGTAAGTTAGCTTTGTCTTATTTTAAGTATAATGAGATAATTGCACTAGAAACTTGACTAAAGATTCTTAGTAAGACTTTATGTTATTGCAGTGTGTATGTGTGCACATTTTTGTTGTTTTGGTTTAAAAATGCAGAAAACACATTAGAAATCATCCTGTTTTCTGCAGCTACTATGCAAATTTAAGGTATTGTAACACAAAAATGTCCCTTATAAAGAGCTTAATAACTTCACTGCAGTGCAAAGATAAATCCTCAAAAGATGCACCTCAGTTCTTTTGGAAGACATTTTATGTAATCTTACAAGGTTCAGTACTCAGCTGCAGAAGTAAATCTGCAGACTGGGATTTTGTTTCTCTCATCTGGCGTCTTTGTCTGAAAACAAAACAAACAAAATAAAGCTCTTAGTCTTGTAAATAAAACAGTCTGACTTTTGAAGTTCAGTGTTCAAATCCCATCAGGCTAACGATTCATAAATGACAAAAAAAAACAAAAAAGCTCAGATTTACTTTTAGAAATAGTCAGGAAACACTTACAAGGTTATCAAAATAGTTTGAAACCGCCAAAAACCCACAAATCCACCCAAAACCAAAGCAAATCTTTCACACATTTCTTCAGCAGCCCATATTAACCGCATTTAAACTCTAGGGAATAAACTGAGGAGCAGCAAATCATTAAAATGAGAAACTTTCTTGTTATAGTGAGACATAAAAATCCAGAGTTTTATATCTTTTATAACGACATACATCTCATTAAAACCAAAATACGTTCTCATTTGGATGAGAAAAGCAACCGCAGTAAAACAGCAGAACTTCATGGCAAGATTTTTGTTCTAGTTGAAATTCTTTCGCTGACCGAGTTCATCCACTCTGACACAACATCTCTGACTTTTGTCTGTTTTTAAAACCTTCACAGTTTTATAAGTCTACTCGTCAACATCCTTATCAACATCTCTTTATTCTACTATTTTTCTTTCACCTCAATTCTATGTTTGAAATCCTTAAAAAATGTTCAAATTAGAAATATCACCAAAATGAGCGGTAAATCACAAACTGGCTGTAACTAAGTATCTATTCTAGTTTTTTATTTTGGGGGGGAAATTAAGTTGAATTTAATTACTTTGGCCTGACAACTACAGCTGTGTATTAGGGTAATTACACATAAATGGGGTAAGAGGAGCAAAAATTTCAGAAATTTTGAGATTGATATTGGAAAAAAAACAACATTTTTGAGCTTGAAAAGGTGAAAGTTTTGTAGAAAAACTCAAAAATGTTGAGATTAATTGTGGTGATTTGAGTTTTTCTGTGTATTTTAGTTTCTGAGCTCTGTGTTGAATGGTAACACATGTTCTTTGTTTCTCCTGATTGTCTCCCTGTGTATTTAAACCCACCTGAGGTCCTTGTCTCATCTGTTTTGTCAAATCTGGCCTCAGTTATTCATTTGTACCAGTTGCTGCCAGTTGTGAGCATTAGCTTTCTGCTAATTCTGTGCTGCCTGGATTTTGTTATTGTTTATTATGAGATCATCATCTCCTACCTGGATCCTCTGCGTCTGCCTCTAACCGCATTTCATGACATTAATCTAATAAAAGTTTTAGAAAAAAAAGAAAATTTCTGAGTTTCGGGAGTAAAAAATGCAACTTTTGAAACTTAGAAATTTCTAAATAGAACATTTCTGAGCTCAATCCCAAAATTTGGCGTAAAACTGATGCAGCATTTTAGGAAACAGATTTCTTAGTAAATATTGTGATTGAAATGTGACTGTTTGGTTGCTTTGTATTTCATTTGTAAAGCATCATTTAAATCCATGCACCATTTTTTTAAATACATATGCTACCTTCTGTCAGGTTCTGTCACATATAATCTCAGATGAAGAACATTGACATTTGAAGGTGTAATCTGACATAATGGGGGAGGATCACTGGATTTTATGAGTCCTACTTTTTATCTCTAGTTTTCCTCATGCTGAAGATGGATCCTCTCTAATAAATTCCAACTAATCTCTTTAAAATAGCCAGTTTTTGGTGTGATGTGGAGGAGTTTAAATTAAATGCACTGGGGACGCGATCAGTCTCATTCCGTCTATGAAATAAGCATAATGTGAGCAAACTACAACGATTTACATATCATTTGCATATGCATGGCTATACAGGTGCAAAGCGGCTTATTTTGGCATGAATCTACTCCACATGGCTCTATTTCCCTGCAGTATGTAGCCCTCAAATGAACACTAACAAGACCTGGTTGCGAAGCCAGAATGAGCCGTGTGCCGGCTGGTTTGTTTCCCCGCTGATACAGCGCACTGCCAGCAACGATGAAGCCGCCGTGTCATCATCTTTAGCAAAGCATGTAGGCTAAGGGATGATGGCTGGCAGCAAAAAATGAGAGGAGGCACCTGTTCATTTGTGGTTCGGTGAACGAATAATGACTCTGAAGTGCTATGTAAGAGAAATCCCTGCAGTGAAACACACCAGGTAGAAGAAGCCTGTGGACAGCAGCGTGTGGGAGTTACAGCAGCAAACACACATTTAAAGGTGACTTATTAAGACCCTTGAACAGTGAGTTCAACAGTTAAGGTACTCTTTTTTCTTTTTTTTTTTTGCACAAAATCGCTCTCCGATAATAATATTTAGTTTGGTGA